CTTCCCAGGAGCCCCTTCTTCTGTTCCTGAAGGTGCTGGTATTTCTCGGAAAGGGCTGCGGATGCAAAGGGGATGGTTCGGTGCAAAGGTCGGAGTTTCTTTGTTTAATCTCGATGTTTTCCTCTATTTATTCTAGATGGTTTCCTCCAGTTGTGTCTGTCCACCCCCCACCTCTTCCTCTTTCTCCTCCAGACCCAGATGAGTTCCTTTTAATGTGCTGCTGCCCAGGTTTCACCAGCCGAGCCGTGCCACGCTCTGCCGTCCCATTCTGTGCCGTGCCACGCTACGCTGTACCATGTAATGTCATGCTGTGGTGTCCCATGCCATGCCATGCCGTAACATGCCAAGCTGTCTTGTGCCATGCTGTGCTGTGCCCTGATGCCCCCCACCACGCCATACCATGCCATGCTGTGCCATGCTCTTCCTGCCCCGTGACACGCTGTGCCGTGCCACCAAGGGCCCCCAGTGCAAACCCTGGGGAGAACGGGTGGGAGATGTGCAAGGACGCCCAGCTGAAGATAAGCTCCCCCCGTCCCCCTCCCCACAATTGAGGTCCCCCTCTCCCAGCAGAGCTGGTGGGATGGGGCAACTCCCTTCCTCTGTCCCCTGCAGCTGGTGGTGGGAAGGGACCGTTCCAGGGGATGGATGGACTGACCCAAGGAATGGAGTGACCATCCACAGGGATGGAGGGTCCATCCCCTTTGTTTAATCTCGATGTTTTCCTCCATTTAATCTCGATGGTTTCCTCCAGTTGTGTCCATCCACCCCCCACCTCTTCTTCCTCCTCCAGCCCCAGGTGAGTTCCTTTTAATCTGCTGCTGCCCAGGTTTCACCAGCCGAGCCGTGCCACGCTCTGCCGTCCCATTCTGTGCCGTGCCACGCTACGCTGTACCATGTAATGTCATGCTGTGGTGTCCCATGCCATGCCATGCCGTAACATGCCAAGCTGTCTTGTGCCATGCTGTGCTGTGCCCTGATGCCCCCCACCACGCCATACCATGCCATGCTGTGCCATGCTCTTCCTGCCCCGTGACACGCTGTGCCGTGCCACCAAGGGCCCCCAGTGCAAACCCTGGGGAGAACGGGTGGGAGATGTGCAAGGACGCCCAGCTGAAGACAAGCTCCCCCTGTCCCCCTCCCCACAACTGACGTCCCCCTCTCCCAGCAGAGCTGGTGGGATGGGGCAACCCCCTTCCCCTGTCCCCTGCACCTGGTGGCGGGAAGGGACCGTTCCAGGGGATGGATGGATCGACCCAGGGAATGGAGTGATGGAGGGACCATCCCAAGGATGGAGAGACTGTCCTGAGGGATGGTGGGTCCATCCTGAGGATGAAGGGAATGTCCCAGGGAACAGAGGAACCATTCCAAGGAATGGAGTGACTGACTCAGAGGATGGAGGGACTGTCCCAGGCAATGGAGAGACCATCCCAGGGGTTGGAGAGACCATCTTGGAGGATGGAGCAACCATCCCAAGGATGGAGGGACCGTTCCTGGGGATGGAGGGACCGTCCTGGGGCATGAGTGAACCATTCTGGGCGATGGAGGCACCATCCAGAGGATGGAGTGATGTTCTGAGGATGGAGAGACCATTCCAGAATGATGGAGGGACCGTCCCAGGGGATGGAGGGACCATTTCAGAGGATGGAAGGACCATTCTGGGGGAGGAGGGACCATCCCAGGGGATGGAGGAATCATCCCAGGGGATGTAGGCAATGTACTGGGAGTTAGAGGGACCATCCTGAAGATCGAGGGACCCTCCCAGGGGATGGAGGGACCATCACGGGGGATGTCACCTTTCAGCCATTCACAGTTGTAGGTGCTGAATGTGTCCTGGGAGTGGAGCTGGATGCAGGCTCTGTCCCCGTGTTGGTGATGTTGGTGACCTTGAATCTCTCAAAGGGTGGGATGAGGACCTCATCCTCGTCAGAGTAGAAGGAGAAGTCCCTGATGGGGACGCCGTAGCAGGTGTAGACCGAGAAGAAGGTGTCCTGCCCAAAGTCCAGGGCACTCTTGTTCCGGAGGGAGGTGGAGGTGAATTGGCCGAAGCGGACGAGATCTTGGCGCCGGGCGGTGAAGCGGATGCCCTGGACACCCCGGTAGACCTGGTGGCAGCGGCGGGACTGGGCGTTCTGCAGGATGTTCAGGGCCTGGGTCATGAGGAAATGCAGCACCTTGAACTGGAATTTGTCCAGGTATTCCCTGCGGGAGCGCCCGGCCTCACACACGGCCCCGTTGAAGGTCTGGTAAAATCCTCCATGCAGGGTGTACACCAGGAGGGCCACCGCATGCTCCGTCCGCAGTGCCGGTGGCTGGGGGACACGAGCCCCCCGGTTCCGCCATTCGGCAGCAGCCTTGGTCCAGGACTCGGCGTAGACACTGTTGTTGGCTGCCCCATCCCTGGAGGGGTTCAAGGGCAGGTTGGATGGGGCTTGGAGCAACCTGCTCTGGTGGGAAGTGTCCCTGCCCAGGGTAGGGGGTGGCACTGGGGGGGCTGTAGGGTCCCTTCCCACCCAAGCTGTTCCACGATGATTCCATGATGATGCTGACACAGTGCCGTGCAGGGGAGCAGAGCGAGGAACCACCCCTCACCTTACCTGCGAGGATCCGGGACCTGGCTTCTTAACTGTTTCTGCCGCCAGCAGGGGACCTGGATGAAAACAAAGCTCTTTTGTGATCAGCGTGTTTGTTCTGGTGTGAAACTTCACATAAAGACAGGGCCCCGGCTACTCCTTGTTATTTAACTCCCAGAGTTGGCACTGCCGCTCCTCCCACCCCATGGGCAGGTGCTGCCCATATCTGGGCCTACTGTGGCATCCCTGCCCCCTTTCTGTGGGACTGACCCCCTCCTTTCCAGCCCCCCTGCCCCAGGGCTCAGCCTGTTGGCCGTCCTACGCTGGGATGGAGACAACGGGTTGATCCCTGTGTCCTCCTTGGTGTCCGGCCACCATTTGGGGTTCCCTGGCCATGAGGCTCCCTGCTTCCCCCAGGGCTTGTGGCTGTTTCTTTGTGATGCTCAGGGTGATGGGAAGGGGCTGGAGCTGGTACCCACCACAGCTCTTGGCAGGGGGGACACTGCTTCGAGGGGTGCTGGGAAGGTGTAAAAGCAAAAGCTGCGTCAGCTCGGGGAGGGCGGTGGGGCCTGGGAAGGTCTGCAGAGAGGAACAGTGGGGGCAGGATGGGGGAAATCACCCCCAGGTGGTTCCTCGGCAATGGACACCGTGCTGGGAACACCTCCAGGCACCGGTCAACCCTGTTACTCCCCTGAAACCCTGCCAACACCTCCCCATGGAGGAGCCCCTCTTTTCTGAGGATGGGGAAGGTTGTGACACAGATGACACAGAGGTGTTGACAGTGATGGCAGCTGGTGTCCCTCCCCGCTCCCCAGGAGCTGCTTGGAGGACTCACAGTGGGGGTGTGTGGGGGGCAGCACCCTGGTCCCCGCACGGCTGCAGCCCCCTCATGTTCCCCCACGGTTTCTGGGGCTCCTTGGACAAACCCTGGTTACCCACCTGCCGGGAGGAAGGAGCCCAAATCCCTGGAACCTGCTGTGAATTCCCGAGGAGCTTCCCTGCAGCCGCTGCCCCGTCTGGGTCTCACCCTGCCCCGGGGGGAGACGGGCACCCTCGGGGAAGGGTTTATATCTCAGCGGTGGTCGGTGTGATGGTCACAGCCCTTGTGGTCCGTCCTACTGTGCTGACAGCCCCTTCCTCTCTTCCTGGAAGGGACCAGACCTTCTCAGAATCGGCTGGGGTGGTGTGAAGGGGATGGTTCACACTGAGAGATTTTGTTTAACCCCCAGTTACCCTTTTGTTTCCGCCAATGTTTTGTCCCCCCCACATCCTCCTCCTCCTCCTCCACCCCAGGTGGCTTCCCTTTAATGTGCTGCTGCCCAGGTTTCACCAGCCGAGCCGTGCCACGCTCTGCCACCCCATGCTGTGCCATGTAATGTCATGCTGTGCCATGCCATGTCCTGCCATGCCATAACATGCTAAGCTGTCCTGTGCCCTGCTGTCCCCCACCACGCCATACCATGCCCTGCTGTGCCATGCTGTCCCCCCCATGCCACGCTGTGCCATGCCCATGCCAACAAGGACCCCCAGTGCAGACCCCGGGGGGAGCGGGTGAGAGACGTGCAAGGACACCCACCTGAAGGCAAGCTCCCCTGTTTCCCTCCCCACGATCAAGGTCCCCCTCTCCCAGCAGAGCTGGTGGGATGGGACCACCCCCTGCCCCCTGTCCCCTGCACCCGGCGATGGAGAGGGACCATCCGAGTAGATGGAGGGACCATCCCAGGGGTGGAGGAACCGTCCCAAGGATGGAGGGACTGTGCCAAGGATGGAGGGACCATACTGGGGTATGGAGGGATCATCCTGGTTATGGAGGGACAGTCCCAGAGGATGCAGGGACCATCTCTGGCGATGAAGAGACCATGGAGATGCCGGGAGGGCTGGAGCCCCTCTGCTGGGAGGCAGGGATGAGAGAGTTGGGGGGGTTCATCCTGGAGAAGAGAAGGCTCCAGCGACCCTTGGAGCCCCTTCCATTCCCTCAAGAGGAGGGCTTCAGGAAAGCTGGGGAGGGACTCTTGTTGAGGGAGGGGAGCCCTAGGAGGAGGGGGAAGGGACACCTCCAGGCACCGGTCAACCCCCTTACTCCCCTGAAACCCTGCCAACAGAGGGGACACATCTGTTGTGTCTGGAAGAACACCCCCGAGAAACCCAGTGAGAAGCATTACCTGCTCTCTGCAGTGGGCGCACAGTCGGGGGGCTGCTCCCTGTCCCACCCCCCTCCAGCACCCAGACTCCCTGCACCCCTCCCTCTGTGGCCGGAGGGGTGAGAAGTGTCACTTTTTCTTTTTCTAGCAGCCCCAGCCAGGATTGCTCGGGCACAGACCCAGCCCCCACCTCCTCCCCCCACCTTGTCTTTACCATTTCCATCCCGGTGCAGCCGGTGTCCCTCCTGCCTTAAAGGGCGGCTTCGGGGGACAATGAGGACACCCCCGAGGGATAAATTGCTGTTGCTTTAATCTGGGTGTTTTAATGCCACCGGGGGCTCTGCCTTTTCCTGCTGAGCCACGACGTGGTGCTCACACTGACACCCCCAGACACTCACATCACCCCTGCTGAGGATGGGGAAGGTTGTGACATGAGTGGCATGGAGGCATTGATGGAGCTGGTGGTGGGGGCATCCATCCCTCCCCTCTCCCCAGACACTGCTTGAAGGACTCACAGTGGGGCTTTAGAGGGGGGGAAGGAGCCTGTTCCCACAGCACTGGGGGCCAGGAGGTTCCCACTGGGGTGCTCCAGCATTCCTGGCTCTTCTCATCTGGAGGTTGAGGATGGAGCTTGGGAACAATTTCATCCTGGAAAGGGTTGTGAAGCCTTGGCAGAGGCTGCCCCGGGCAGTGGTGGAGTCGCCAGCCCTGGAGGGATTTCTAATCCAGCTAGACGTGGTGCTGAGGGACGTGGGTCAGTGGTGGGTCTTCTCTAAGCAGAGATAACTCGCAGGGAGCTACAAAAAACAGCTCAGCCCGTGGTTGTCTCAAGATTGTGTCACAATAAGACCGGAAACTTCCCAGGGACTGAGCGACCACACCTGAGAGAGAGGGGAAGTGATGAAGAAGCACACATATGGTAAAGGGCATGCTATTGAGATGGTGATTGGTTCCCTCTTTTATGATATCTAGCGCGCTTGTGGTTTGTGGTGTTACTTTTGGGGCTGACTTGTGGTTTGTAATACTGTATTCCGCGAACTGCTGTGAAATTGCGATGGTGCATTGGCCATTGTACCCACAGAACCTGCAACAGTGGTGCATTGAGAGTGAGCTCCAAAGACATTGTTCATTGGGACCTCTCAGGGAAGCCCTTTTCCCTTTCCATCACAGTTTGTCAGCGTTGGGTTGACGGTTGGACTCGATGACCCGAGAGGTCCCTTCCAACCTCCACCCTTCCACGATTCTGTGCTTTTTAGATATTGACAATTCCCCACTGACCCATCTGTCTTTAGTGAATATTTTACATCCCTGCCTTTCCTGTTCAGCCCTCAATAAAATAGAATCCTAGAATCATAGAATGGTTGGAGTTGGAAGGGACCTTAAAGATCGTCAGTCTTTCTCTTTCTCCTTCCTTCGCTTTCTCCTCCTCCTCCTGACACCCACCCTTTAAGTCTTTATAAGCATCGATGAGACCCCCTCTCAGTGTTCTTTTCTCCAGGCTAAAAAGACCCAAGTCCCTCACCCTCTCCAAGAGGAGATGCTCCAGGCCCCTCATCATCTTTGTAGCCCTCCTGGTCCACCCTCCTGCCCCAGGAGCTCCTTCCTCCCTGGAGCTTCTCAAAAAGGGCTGGGACAGAGCAGAGGGGCAGGATGACCTCCCTCCACCTGCTCGTCATGCTCTTCCTGATGCCCCCCAGGACACAATTGGCCTTCTTGGCCACAAGGGCACCTTGCTGGCTCATGGGCATCCTGTTGTCCACCAGGGCTCCTAGGTCTTTCTCCTCAGAGCTGATCTCCAGCAGGGCATCCTCAAACTCTCCTGGTGCAGGGAGTTATTCCTCCCCAGGTGCAGCACCCTGCACTTGCCCTTCTTGAAGTTCATCAGGTTCCTCCCTGCCCAGCTCTCCAGCCCCTTCCCTTCTCCCCTGGGTTCTGGGGGGGCTGTGACCCCCAGGGCCGGCCATGGGAAAGGCAGGGGCCAGACCCCAGCAGGAGACACCTCCCCCGGACCCTTTGAGCAGGATCTGGGGAACGGGCATCTCTCTGTGGGATGCTGTGGATATGGGAGGAGTGGGGATGTGGGGAGGGGGCTGCAGCCCTGCACGAACTTCCTCCATCCCAGGGAGCTGCAAGGATCCCCTGGAGACACCCCCGTTGCACAGCAAGCCTTTATTTTTCTGGGAGCCAGGGGGGAAGGGAAGGTGGGAACAGCCGGCTGGGCAGGGACACCCCCAAAGGCAGCCCTGCTGCATCCCCCCAAAATCCACGGCCACCCCCATCCCTGGGGGGACACCCCACGCTCAGCTGCATCCAAAAGCCCCATCCCCAGCTCTGCTGAAGGTCCCCGATGTGTCCCCAGGGCTGGGGGCACATCCCAGGATGGGTGGCACCGTGGCAGGGCTTCAGCTGGGCACGGGGGCTGCAGCGGGGCTGTCCCCATGCCCCGAGCCCCAAATGCTGCCCCCTCCCATCCCACCATCCCTGTGACGATGGTGGTTTCCATCCCGGACCTGTTTCCCTCGCCGTGGTGCGGTGGCATCAGTGGCCTTGGGGCTCAGGTTCCCCCCGCGGCTGCCAGGGCTGTATCTTCCAGGAGCAGGGAGGTCCCCGATGATGGTCCTGCCTGGGGGGGTGAAAAATTGGGGGTGGGTGAGGGGCAGCCAGAGGGGGGTCAGCTGGGGGTCCCCCTCCCCATTGGCAGTGGGGGCTCTGGTCTCACCTGCATTGAAGTTGCACTTCTGGTTCTGGCGTTGCTTCCCTGCCAAAGACACCAACAGACACAGGGGATGGATGGACCATTTTGGGGGATAGAGGGACCATTTCAGGGATGGAGGGACCAACCCAGGGGATGGAGGGACCATCACGGGGGAATGGAGCGACCGTCACGGGGGATGTTACCTGTCACCCATTCGCAGTTGTTGTAGCTGCATGTGCCCATGGACTCGAGCTGGATGTGGTTACTCCTCCCATGTTTGGTGATGCTGGTGACCTCAAATATCTCGAAGGGTGGAATTAGGACCTCCTCCTCGATGGGGTACATGGAAAAGTGCCTGATGGGGACACCATAGCAGGTGGACACCGAGAAGAAGGTGGCCTCAGTGAAGTCCTCGGCAACCGACTTCAAGAAGGAGGTGGATGTGAATTGGCCAAAGCGGACGAGATCTCGGTGCTGGGCGGTGAAGCGGATGCCACGGACGCCCCGGTAGACCTGGTAGCACTGCGGGATCTGGACTTCCCACAGGATTTTCACGGCCTGGGTCAGGAGGAAATGCAGTGTCTTGAAGTGAAATTTGTTCAGGTATTCCCTGTAGGAGCGCCCGGCCTCGCGCATGGCTGCATTGAAATCCTCATACAAGCCTTGATTCATGGTGTATGCCATGAGGGCCACTGCATGATCCGTCCGCAGTGCTGCCGGTGGCTTGGGGACATGACCCTCCCGCTTCCGCCATTCAGCAGCAGCCAGTGTCCAGTTCTTGGCATAGACGCTGTTTTTGGTGAACTCGGTACGCTGGAGCTCCCTCAGCTTCTCCTCCATCTTGTGGCTGCAGTCCCGGTACTGGTCATCAAAGGAGGTGTTGGCCATGTCCAGCCAGATCTCCTTGATGAGCCCCAGATCCTGCAGGGGGTTGCCAGCAGCCAGGGTCCCAGCAAACAGCACCAATGCCAGCACCAGGTGCTCCATGGACATGGACCTGTTGGAAAGGGTGCGTTGGAGGGCCATGGAGATGCTCCAATGGCTGGAGCCCCTCTGCTCTGAAAATGGCAAAGGTTGTGACAAGGAGGCATTGATGGTGATGGCAGCTGGTGTCCCTCCCCACTCCCCAGGCACTGCTTGGAGGACTCACCGTGGGGTGTGTGGGGGGCAGCACCCTGGTCCCCGCACGGCTGCAGCCCCCTCATGTTCCCCCACGGTTTCTGGGGCTCCTTGGACAAACCCTGGTTACCCACCTGCCGGGAGGAAGGAGCCCAAATCCCTGGAACCTGCTGTGAATTGCCCGGGAGCCGTGTGTGACGCCCGCAGTGGGGTTTGCAGAGCTCTCCTGGGCTGGACAAACCCTCCCGCTGCTCCAAGCCCCGACGTTTCACCCCCAGACGCGTCCCGCAGGGTTCTCTGCTGCCGCTTCTCGCCCGGGGATGGAGGAGCTTCCCTGCAGCCGCTGCCCCGTCTGGGTCTCACCCTGCCCCGGGGGGAGACGGGCACCCTCGGGGAAGGGGTTATATCTCAGCGGTGGTCGGTGCGATGGTCACAGACCTCACGTTCTGTCCTACCGCGCGACAGCCCCTTCCTCTCTTCCTGGAAGGG